GATATAGAGATATAGATATCTCTCTCTCTCTCTCTCTCTCTCTCTCTCTCTCTCTCTCTCTCCCCTTTTGTACCTTTGAAATTTTGAACCATGTGAATGCATGATTAAAAAAAAGAATGTTTTAAAGTACCATTTACACCAGCAACAAAAATGCTACCCAGGAATAAAAGATGTACCAGACCTTAATATAAAAAGTTACAGATTCATCAATTTAATTCATTTGAAATAAAAATTTAAGTTTTTCATAAAATTAAAACAAAACAAAACTCATTTTGCAAATGTATATGAAAAACAAAGCACCAAGAAAAGCCAAGACAACTATAAAGGAGAAGGTGAGGGGCCTTTAGCCTAATGTGAAGTTGTAATATTGACCAAGACACACCAGCAGCCCAATGGAAAGAATAAGAACAGTCAGACTGTGCAGCAGTGTTTGGGGGAAGGAAAGAGAAAGAGGTAGAGGAAGAGGGAGGTCAAAGGTAATTCAGTCCAAGCAGTTTGGAGATAATCAAATTCATTTAGGTAGGTAGGTATTGGGTATGGCAAATGCTTTTTTAGGGGAAGGTAAGAAAATTGGCTCAAGGCCCTGATATGTGATTATTTGAGGTGGTTTGAAGCAAGCACAAATACTGAAGAATATACAAATCAGTCATTTCTGATACCATCAATTTTGAAAGCCTACCATTTAAATTTCACTTTAATGATCATTTTATTATATACATATCTATATATCTACGTGTGTGTGTGTGTGTATATATATATATATATCTGTGTATATGTTTGTGTATGTATACATATACACACACATATATGTTTATTAGAAATTACTTCCTATGACTCTACTTTTTTGTCTGATGGTAATTTTCTTAGTGTTCCATATTCATCAAGATTATAGGCATGACTGGATATATAATTCAATGAGGGAGTCTATGTCAGGCCCTTATCTTTTGCTACTTTAGCTCATAATTTTTATTTGGAACTTATAGGGAAAATCACAAATTCAATTAATTGAAAATTACTTTGACAAAATAACAATAATCAATGAAAAAATAATATATTTAGAAAAGAAATCTGAGGAGACACAAGATTTAATAATTTCTAAATGGACATACAAGACACAGTTCATTGACAAGTCAAAAACCTTACCCTTTTCAGGTAACTCTGGACCTCTCCCCCTACTTCTGCCCATCCGGTCATTCCTAATTTCGCTTCGAGACTCATTTCTGGAATCATTCCTTATTTCAGTACGAGAGCTTTCTTCTCTCAAATGGTTTCTGCCATAACTTCGGGATTCTTCCTGATATGAATCCTCCTTTCGATGAGCATCTCGACTTTCCCGGTCCCTGTAGTCATGAGCATCACGAGTAGAGCGAGACTCTCTGGGATCACGGCTCTCCTTGGTATCTCTGCTATAATCTCTCATGTCCCTGGAGTCCCGAATGTCTCTGGAGTCTCTTAGTTCCCTCCGGTCTCTAGCATCCCTGGCATCTCTCCGATCCCGACCATCTCGAGGTTCTCTGTCTTCTCTGTGGTCTCTAGAAGAGCTCTGATCCTGTTCATACTCACGTTCTTCTCTTGTGTCCTTTTCTCTATCCCTTTTGCCTCTAGTCTCTGTAATTCAATTGTGGAAATCAAATGTAATTCTTTTCACAAAATTTTGGGAAACTAGACAATATATTTAATACCGAGATTTTAAAATTTTATTTCAATGATAATTCATGTTCTTTGCAGGAAATAAAAAGAGAAAATATGGTCAAATAAAACAATTAAATCCTTTCAAAAGCTAAAATTCCAAAGGTAATTTTATAAACACTAGGATAATTATGTTCTTATTGGATAAACTTTGAACATGATCTTCCCCACCCCAATTTACCCATACTTCTATCTTAAACCACTAAAACAAGTTGACCTCATATCATTGATGGCTTTCTTTTTAGAAACCACTTTTAGTTCTAGTTACACAGTGCCATCTCTACCTAATATTAGGCCAGACTAGGCCACATGTGACCACCTCAAATGGAGTTAAGCACTTGAGAGTGGCCTACAGTTAGCAGGCTGGCTAGCAGAGAGACACTGTTATCCTCTTTTCTTGAGCTATTTAATGGAATTACACTCCTCCATCTCTAAAGCGTTCTCAACTTAAAGCATTTTGTAAGATTTTTAGAAAACTAAAAAGGTACTTTTAGTTAAAAAGCTGGAATGAACCTCACTGATTATTTAATACAAACTTGTCACTATATAAATAAAATAGAGGCCCAGAAATTAAATGGCCTAGTCAACTCCATACAATTTCCATGAACTCCAAATTCATGGGCATTTACAAAGATCAGAAACTATTCTTTAGATATGCCTAAAATATGCATACATTGATTACAGAATAAATCTGATATGAAGTCAAATAATTAATAAGAGAACCTCAAAGAACAAATACTGCCTTTTTAATTAGTGTCCTTCCTCAGTTGCTCTTATACTCTGGAATTGTCTCAAGATCTGAGGCTGTTTTAGCCACTGTAGCAGCTTTATGGCTTTACACATTGTAAAGTTACCTCCTTCTTGCTTTGTCTCCAGTGCCTAGGTCCACAGACTTTCTCAAGTACCCAAACATCTAGTATCCACAAACCCCCTAGATTCTCACACCAATAACCTATCTGCCCTGCCAATTACTTTGTCCATGTGCCTATATCCATAAATGCCATTTAAGGACAAAACCAGTAGGCAAGGATGTGATGTCTTCATATCTTCCTGTGAATACCTATTACTTCTAGTCCTCCTCCAATACCAACAGTGCCTAACAATATGTTCACTTAATACCAGATCCTTTTTTCATGATGCCCCATCTCTTTTTACAAATCCATCTAGTTAATATATTTTGTTCTTTACCTACCTCCCCATTCTTCTACTAAAATTATTCTTATTTCAGAAAATGACATCTAAATAGAAAGGAACAAACATCTGCTACACTTCTTCCTCCTTACAAAGAACCTAAACAGATATGGTTTCTTATTAAAAGTTTTCCTGTAACATAAGCTACTCTTACCACAAAAAAGCAATCCTAAAAGACTCAACACTCTATACTACTTCCCTTCATTAGTATGTTTAATAGTTATGTTTTGAAATAATAAAGAATTTTCATTCAGTAAGTAGTCACTAAATGAACATATATTCCTGGTCAACTCTAGCTGCTAAATATCTTATTAAAATAAAATTAATAGGTATGAGAGAATTTTCCCATCTTAACAATGTTCCACAGATACTGTTGTGCTGATCTGATTCCAAAATGATGTATACAAGGCATAATTGTATAAAATAAGTGCTCTTTCTGGTCCCTACCTATGCATCCATCATTTTCTTGAATAAAAGAATTTGGTTAATTATTGCACCATTGATAGGAAAGAGAGTAAGTTCAACATGTTTCATAGGAGGCTGCTGTACTATACTCACAGGCGTATAAAATGCATATTAAACCGACATGTTATTGCAAATAAGCAAATATTTCCTGAGTACCCATTATGTTCAAAAACTAACTCAGGAGAAGTTGGGAAAAAAAAACCTGTGAAGGTAAATAAACAAAGACAAGAGTCCTTAAACAAGAAGTACGGAAAGAGGTAAGAGATAATAAGACTGTATTTCTAGGTAATAACAGCATCTCAGCTTGAATAGAGAGTAGCAAATCCAAAGTTAACTGAATTCTCAGGGATCTAGAAAGGAAAACTGCTTTGCATACTTGTTTCTTGAGTAAAACCTGGAAAACTGATTACTTGGTTTGCAATGACTTTCTGAAATTTTCCCACAGCCCTCACCTCTTTATCAAAACCCATTTTCAAACTCTGCCCCCTGGTTTGCTGCTTTTCTTTCCTTCACCTCTTTTTTTTGTTGTTTGTTTGTTTTTTTAAAGAATTAACTAAGCAATTAGAAGGATGCTCTAAGAATAAGACAGTCAAAAATTTCTAGAACTTGAGAGCATTTAAGTAAAACTTCTTAAAGAAAGCACCAACTTAGTATACACATAAATGCCTACTTACACATATTTTAATAGCTTACATTTGCTGTGTCATTAAGCACCTCCTGTGGCCCTCAGAACTCTCCTTTGTGTGTTAGGGAAGATTTAATATAACACAGTTCTCTCCTATTCCTTGTAATAACAATAAACCTGAATGTCCAAGTTTTAAATAAAGAAAACATCTACTTACATAACTAAAACAATCAAGATAAAGTACAGTGCATACCTTCCCTCCTTTCATGACGACGATCATGAGATTGTGAAGTTCGTTCATGATCATGCCTCCCTTTCTCTCGCATGGGAGAGCGATGTCTTGGGGGACTTTGCTTTCTCTGAGGAGAAGATAGCGAATGTGAAGGATAAGGTGACGCAGAGCGTCTTAAAGGTGGAGTTATTGTCCTCTGATAAGATGGTGAAGGAGTTCTTTTTCGACGAGGAGAAAGAGAATGCCTTTGAATAGATGATCCTGATTGTGAGGAAGATGAGTGATGTCTAGAAGATATAGGAGAATGATGCTGTCCTGCAGGCGAAGTAGACCTATAAGAAAAAACAACATCAGTAAAAGACATGTTCAAGAGCCTTCATTTCTAGCCAAAGGAAAATCTTTTTTAAAAACAAACAAACAAATGAATGTAAAAGTTAAAGCTAAAAGTGTAATTCCAGGATAAATTTTAATTCACAATGCTATAAAATAGTAAGTGAATTTTTAAAGACTTGATTGATTTTTAAGTTAGCTTGAGTCAACAGTTCTAATTGAGATATGCACTGCCTTTCTCCCAAGCTTTGACTCTAAGGCACACTTCCTTTTACTGGTACCATCCTCCCTGAGCACAGATGGTCTTAACCTTACTTAAAGTATGGAATTCACTCTTATCAGAGACAGTCTCTGAAGAAAAAACATACTTGTAAGATCTAGATAGAAAGCGGCTGTAAGAATGCCTGTCATTCAAGGCAATGGGAAAAGGGAAAACCTATCACCAGCTAAGCCAAACCTAAAAGTCCGCTTTGCCTGGGCTGACACTTAGAATGGGGCAAGAATGTCAGAGTTAAGGAAAGAACGTACTGTCTACACAGTTTTTATTTTAAATAAACTTTTTTTCACTCTTGGGCAGCACAAACAGATTTAGTTCCTAGGTCTTGATTTAACTAAGGCATTTTCCAATCCCTTCAAATCTTCTTTCACCAATGCCAGAAGAACATACCGTATTTGCCGGCGTATAAGACGATTTTTTGGCCCTGAAAAATATGCCTCCAAGTGGGGGGTCGTCTTATACGCCAGGTACACTTCAGATAGACTGCCCATAGTGCTTGCCCCGTGCCATAGTGGCCTCCCGATGCCCGCCCACTTCATTCCACATACCTTTCAGGCATCAGCAGCGCTGCTGGGTGTATGCTCGGCTGTTATGCGATTTTGCTGTTATGCGATTTTACCACACTCGCAAAATCGCACACAGCCGACCATATAACAAACTCTGTATTTTGAGTGGAAATGTTAGGGGGTCGTCTTATACGCCGAGTCGTCTTATACACCGGCAAATACGGTACATAGAGTCTCATGAAGCACATCCTGAATCACTCCTACAATCTGCTGTGTCCTGGGCCCTCTCCACAATTAATATGCAAAACGTGTGCGTAATGCAGAGCTGGAATACACACATTTGTGCAATAACTAAAAACAGGACTGTTTAAAAAATAACATTCTAAACATCACATACCCAGATAAATACATTATTCCGAGCAATCATTTCAAGGGCTAGGTATTTGTTCAAAAAAATTCTGGAGTCTAATCAAAGATTTTAGAATTCCTCAGTGCCTATAATAAATATGTTTTAATATCCACAACGGTGGCAGAATCATTGTCAATCCTAAATCAGGGTTTTTCAACCTTGAAACTACTGACATTTTGTATTCAGTAATTCTTTGTGGTGGGGGACTGTCCATGTTTGGCAGGATCTCTATCCATTAGAAGCCAGTACATTTCCTTCCCAACCCCATTCATGACAATAAAAATTATTCCAGGGCCGGCGGAGTGGCACGCTGGTTAAGAACTGGCTTGGGATGCCAGAGGGCCCCAGTTCGGATCCCACATATAAGGGCCAGTGACACTGCCCTCCACAGCTAAGATGCTGAACAACAGCTCAACCTGGAGCTGGGCTACCCTGAGTCACCGGTGAAGGCATAGGCTGCAGCCTCTGTGGCAGTGGATTGCCATGGGCTACCGTGTGCAGCCAGCGTGAGCGGCCAGCAGCCGCAGTGAGCGGCCATCCAGAAGCCGGCGACTGATCTGTCTCACCCGGGAAGAGCGCAATGATGGTGCCAACATGGGCCAGTGAAGCAACGTCCTCCACAACTAGACTGAAGAACAAAACGACAGCAACTTGTCTGTTCCCCTTCCCCGAATTCCCCAGCACTGTTCCCCTCCCCCAATTCCCTAGTGAAAATCTTAAAAAAAAAAAAAGTATTCCAGAAACTGCCAAATGTCCCCAGGGAGGCAAAATCACCCGTGGTTGAGAACCACTGCCCTAAACTATGTTGTTATAAATGATACCTTGGTAGACCTTTTACCAATCAATATTAAGATTAAATCTGTAAAAGAAGTTTCTGAATCAGGAAAGCAATACAATATATGAGAAAGGATTTTCTAAAATAAGGATTCAAGCAAATAAACAAAAACATCTCTTGAATAGTTTAATAAAAAAAAAAGCTAACTAGAACATTACATTCACCTAGACATTCTAGTTATCTGTGATTCCACTAAACTACCATGCTTTTAATAAAAATTGTTATTCCTTTATCACAGAAAAAATTAAGCGCTAACTACTATAACTTAATAGACTCTACATATTTACTTATAGTACAAGTAGAAATGCTCAGTGGGTCTTACCCAAATTTGGAAAACCATTTATGATCAGTGGCAATTCAAATGCATCCCACTGAACAAAAAAATCATTAAAAGACTGAGAATTAGAATGACTACTGTTTGGTGCTTTCTAATTTCAATTTTATCAGGTTCTAGTCAACTTGAAAATATCTAAATTGATAAAATCAAGAATGTGGCTCTCCACTGAACTGACATTTTGGTTAATTTTGAGTTTATTTTTGGGATATACTCAAAATTGTTTCAAGAATGTCTACAATACCCTTTGGTGATTAGTTCACAGAACTTAAAAAATTCAATAGTTTATAATACTATCTTTAAAAAACACTTTATAGTTCAATCACATTTCTATTCAAATTTGGTCTCTATAGCATGGAAGAAAAAACTTCAGTTCAAGTTCAGGATAATCGAGTTATAGTATTAAGGTCAGAGCACCAATGTGTTGTCAAGTTATGGCTTCAGCATTTTAACTATTTTTCTTCTTATCCTCCAGGGAAAAAAAGATTTAAGAACATTATTGATTTAATTTAAGCATCTGTTATGGATTGAATGTTTATGTCTCCCCAAATTTTCATGATGAAACCCCAACTCCCATGATGTATTTGGAGGTGAGGCCTTTGGGAATAATTATTGGGTCATCGGGAAAGTCATGAGTGTTTTCCTATGTTTTTCAATGCAAAAATGCATCACGACTTTCCCAGGACCCAATAGATTTAGATGGTCCTGTGGGTGGGGCTCCCATGATTGGATTAATTTCCTTATAACATAAGGAAGAGTCCAGAGCTTGGCCGCTCAGGGGTGCACGCATGAATGCGCTCTCTCTTCCATGTGAGGACACAGTGAGAAGACAGCTGTCTATGAATCCATAAATGGGCCTTCACCAGGAGCCACATCTGCCTACACTTGGACTTTGGACTTCAGCCTCTAGACCTGTGAGAAATAAACGTCTGTTGTTTAACCCACCCAACCCATGGTACTTTTGTAATAGCAGCCCAAGTTGGCTAAGACAGTTCTTTACATTCTCCTGTTAACTATTCTTTTAAGTCTGATGACTGAAGAACAGTGTAAAGAGAGAGAATGCTACTAAAACAAGATGGATCAATTTATGGATGTGAGCCTGACTAGACCTAGAACTATGTTCATTCTGTATATATAAAAAGTATAACTTTAAGTAATAAAACCATCTTGAAATCTGACTATAAGTATTAGTACTTTGACTTCTAGATTATTCCAGAGATATGCAGTATTAAAATACATTTCCATTTAGAATAACAGTAATTTCAAATTAACTAGTCTTATACTCTAGAATTGGCTGGTTTCTTATTTGAGAGAGAAAAAAAAGAAGTGACATTTGAAATTCAAATAAAGAAAAAGGGAAAGTTTAGTGCACAAAGAGAACTTCAATACCTTAAAACAGGTATCTCTATACTGTCAGCAAGAGCACTGTGATTTATAACACATGGGGAAAGATAATCTTTAGCCTGACTTGGTTCCCATCAGAAGCTTTTTAATGCTGCCATAATTAGGAAATGATGTAGAATGAGAATTTCCAGGTATATTTCATTTGGGGGAAAAATGTGAAAGGTTAAGAAATTAAAAAAGAAAAATTCCTTATTCAAGATGCAAGTAATTTCACCTACAAACCAAAAAGTTTACCCTAGACTTTCTTAAAATTAGCAACACCAACTTTTCTTTCAATAGTTTTTATTTCTCAAACATGAAAATATGCTTAATGTAACTAACATTCATAATTCAACTGTTAAAATCATCATGCAAAATGTATACTTTAAAAAATAAATGGAGTATGGACACTATTAAAATCAACTCTAACATAATCATGATGATAATACCAATAACAATAGCAGGTAACACATATATTGCTACTATCTACATGACATTGTTTTAAGTGCTTTACATATATTAACTCATTTCATGTTTATGACAACAACCCTATGAGGTAACTGAGGCAGAGGACTGAAAACCAGTCTGCCTTAACTACAGGGTCTAGGAGTAGACTACCAACAACAAAGCAAGGCAATTTCAGCTACTTAGTATTACAAAGTCTACAAAGCAGGGTAATGAAATAGAAACTGTTAGTTCCAAAAAACAAAAAAAGTTTTCCAGGTTGTCAGGGGGGCTACTTCAGGTTGCTTGCTAAGGAAAGGGCCTTTAAAGGGATGATGATATTTGAGCCAAGAGCTGAAAATGTGAGGGAAGAACTTTCTGTGCGGAGGGCTCAGCAACCACCAAGGAGGCAGGAGGGATTACAATACATAAGAAGAACAGAAAGAAGACAAGTACAGCTTACGAGAGAGGGTCAGAGAGTAGGCAGGGACCGGATGACATGAAGTCTTCTAGGTCATGATAAGCGTCTGGTTTCATTCTAAGCAGGAAGGAAATCACTGGAGAGTTTTAGGCAGGGAAGTGTCATTTAAAATCTGGCAAGATCTTACTTGCCTAATCAATATGAAGATGGAGAAAGAAAATGCTCCTGTGTGATGATATGTTTTAGTGGCTTGCTGTCCCTTTGGAACATGATAAATACTCCCTGAATGGGAATAATTTCTGAGTAATAACGGAAACAGGAGAACACTTTTGCTTGTGGGACTCTTTTGAAAGATATCTCAGCCAAAAATATATATATAATAATACACTTGTA